TTGTTACAAAATAACAAACAAAAATAGAGTATTGGCGCTTTAAGGAAATCTTGTTTTTTTTTTCTCAGTTTGTTTTAGAAAATAGCTACCATCAAAAGGTATCTCCACAGAAAAAATAAATCTCATTAGTTCTACAGTATTTTTAACCTGTGCAACAAAAGAACTGCCTTTCCCGGCTAAACAAGCATTGAGGATATTATTAGAACAGCTTTAAAAATAAGACAGGTCTTTAACAACTACAACAAAAACCAAATGGGAATAGCATTAGTGGCTTAAGTAACAACATAAATTAACAAAAACTTCAGTACCAAATGCATTGCACCCAACCAGTTTGTGGATATCCACAGAGACAAGAAACAAGCCTCCTAAGATATCAAAAATTTCCTAGGAGAAGATACTAGTCTATTAAATAAGTTTTGTGTAATCAAGCAAGCTACCACAGGACAGAGATGTTAATACTACTGCCTTTTGGGAAAAATACCATGAGCAGGAATCTCTTTAATATCCCCACCAAACTAAAGTATTTCAAGGTTATGTTCTAATGTTCGATCTACCTTGCAACAAACAACTCAAAAAGCCTAAGGACAAAAAGGCAAAAGGTTATCAAGGCCATTGTTTTTTCTACACCTGGATCAACTTTCCCCCACTGCTCTTGATATAAGTTTGCCTGTGCAAGTGACAGAACCTATTAATGAACATTTTATGAATAAATTAAAAAAGTCTATTTTCATGTTTCACTATATCTAGCTATAATGAAAAACATCTAATAGTAACATGAAATCATTTCCTCTGCTATCATTTAAACTCACTACTTTTGGCAGTAATTGCCACAAGCCTGGAGAACAAGTTATTTGCATGCTTCACTGCATCAGATTTGACAATTTCCATTTCTTTCTTAAACAACCTCAGCTTATTTTCAGACTTCCCGCAAAGCTCTGACATTCTAGACTTCAGACCAATGTCACTATTCTTCCCTAGATTCTCCACAGCTAGACCATGTATTTCTTGAAGCTGTAACACAAAGTCAGACATCGTATTCAGCCAAGGCCTTTCCTGTGCTCTGTGAAACAAAAGAATTCCTTCACTTATCTTTTGAGATACACTCCTACAGAACAGAGCTGGATATGAAGCATCTTGCAGCTAAAGTTTAAGTTCTCCTCACAGTTAAAGAGGATGTCATTCACAGACTATAATGTTAGCTTAATCACTGAACACAAATGCAATGAAACATAATTGAGATTCAACATAAAATGTATTCCCAAAACTACAAAAGCAATGAAGCAAAAAAATATTTGGAAAGTTGAAACGATACAAACAACTAGCACATTTAATTGTAAACTCTTCAGAGAAACAGAAACCTAAGTTATCTTAACACCCTGCACGACAGGTTCCCTAAATGTTATCACAACAAAAATAACCCGTTTTTCTTGGTGTACCTGTGTTCCTTTACAAGAATTCACCACCTAGTTCGAACTATAAGGTCTGAAGCACCTTTTCATCCTATCTTCCTTTTATTTATCTTTCCATTCATTCTTAGTTTTATTCTTCTTCTTAAATCTGTTTTATAAGATTAAGGTTTCTAAATATATAACTAATTTTCATGCAGGATAAATTACAGTACTGTCGCCAAGAAAAGGATCGCCCATCCAACAACTCAAGCCCTTGCTTCACAACCTTCAAAGTAATTTTCATCTTCCAAAGAGCAGTTCAGGGCACAAAGCTCCGAGTACAGAAAATCCCATTTGAATTATTTAATATTAGTGTAAATAATCTCTAGCAACAAGAACAGAGCCTTTCCCCTCAGCTGTCACACACTCCTTACTATATCAACAACCCTGTAATACTCTGAAAACCTTCCATCCAAACAATCTCCTGTCCTGAGGATTCATCCTGGGGATTCATCATGGGGAAGAAACCAATCTACGTGCCTTCAGACAACAGCACTCATCCTGGGCCTCCCAACACAAGGGAAGGGTGAGTAGAAGAGGAAAATCTCTGCTAAAGTCACTTGCCCCTAGCACTTCAAATCCTTATGCCTCCAAGAAGAACCTACTTCCTAAATGCACTTTATGAGTGAAGGGCAAATGCTCATGAACCGTAATGTAGAAAAAAAAGAGTATAATAATTGCTACAGCTTTCATGCAATGACTTTGCTATTATAACATTTTTAATATCAACAGTTAAGCTACTGAAGCAACTTCTAAAGCACTAAATTCATATTTGACTAAAAACTGACCAGGAGTTGAATATGGCTTAAACTTGTTTTTCAAAACCCTGACCCTTGAATTCATCAGCAACACTGATGTAGTTGTAACCAACACAGAGCACTCAATTAGGATCTTGATATGGAATGTATCCTTTACAGAAGTCTCCAACTTAAAAGTCTACGTAAGACTCCTTCAAGGTCTGTCATAAATTCTTGTTGTCCACCTCGCCTTTAAAATTAGAAACAGAGTACAGAACTGAAGGTTTTCCTCCTGGAAAGCAGGAGTGCATTTCCTGAAAAATTACAGGGAAATAAAACTTTCCAGGTATCTCTTCAAAATAAGTGATGTCATGCTCCTCGATGGGCTTCCACAACAAGGTTACTTTCTAAGCTTAGATTTACCTTGTCTGGAAGGAAACACTGGAAAATGTACTTGCATTAGAGCCACGAGTCAGTTAGAAGCACTTTTCCTCACTTATGTCACTTTGAATTTGCATTATACTTCAGGTTTGCTTGTTTTAGTGTTAAGGACAGTTTCCATTTTAAATGTATGAACAGTTTTTCAGTCTTGAACTTTATTACAAGTTTAAATGAATTAATAGGTGTACTTCTACAGTAAACAAGATTCAATTACTGATGACCTGAGGAAGGGCTAGCTAACTAAAGAACAAAACCACATCAGAAAATTGAAATTCTAGTGCCAGCTCTTAGACCTGCGTGTTTCACTATTTCCAACATGTAAGAAGTTGGCTTTTAAACAATACAAGAATGCCCACATACGCTTCCTAACCTTGACTATGTGCACCCATACTTGCAATGTACCCATCTCTTTGGCTGGCAGGTATTCCAGATACCAGCTTGCTGCTCTCTCCCAGAGATGTAAGATAAGGGGGGAGAAGCAGCTACACAGTATGATTTAGCATTTGGAGTCAAGTCTAATGACTGACATTTTTGAAGTTCAAGTGACTTACAACAGTCTCACAAACACACCCCCCCAGTGTGAAAATGTATTCCTAAAAAGTCCTGCCTCCTGCCACTGCTTTCCCCTCTCTCTTGCACTGCTGCAGCTACGGCTTAGCTACTGGTATCACTGTTTCTAAGGCCACAATACAAACCAGATATTGAAATAACTCCACAGAGATTTGCCGTTTTTTTCTGGTAGAAATAACAGAGAAATTCAGCTCCATGCACAAATGCACCAGCACAATCTGGGCAACAGAAGTCAGCAAGAAGCTTTTTACCCTCATTTTGCTACTGGAAGCAACCATTTGTTAAACCCCACTCTCCAGGTATTTACGTTTCTCAGCCAGTTGAGAGTTTCTCCTGACTCAGTAAAGTTAAGACTGGACTTGCATTACTCAAAGCATTTAATAACACTGCTGGTTAGTTTAAAACACATGTATACTGCTGAGGTTTGCCTGACTTCAACAAGAAAGCCAGCAGCTCCTTAAGACCAGGGAATCAATCTCACCTCTCACTAGCATCATCAGAGGCCGACTCCTTCCCCATTTTTCCTTTCTTGCTGTCTACCCAGTATGAGCTCTACTATTTGTCACACTTCTCAATTCATTAATTCCACTATGCTATTAATAAATAAAACGGATAAAAAAGATAGGGCTTTTTTTCCTGGTGAGTTGGGATTCAAACTGCACCCCCCTGTGACCTGATGATCGAAGCCTCATTTTTCCTGCTTGAGGCTCTCCCTACAGCACAGTAAGGAGACATTACCTGGTAGGCTCTGCACCTCACAGGGCCACAAGACCCTGTTTACAGATGAGAGGTCCTGTACTGGCGACAGAAACACAGTTGGGAAAGCTGAGATTAAGTAATCTTCAGCAACTAAGGTTTGGAACAAGAAGGCAGAGCTTCTGGCATCTCTATTTACCTTCAGAATGGACTTGATGCATGACATTTGGCAATTCATTCTGACTCTAGTGCTTACAGACTTCAAATCTGCAAAATACCTTGTGCTGTTACAAAGCATTTTCAGTTTCAGAGGCCTCAGCAACTTACACTTTAACCCTAGTAAAACAGGTAGTACCGCTCACTCTCCATGGGATTGGGAAGTTAAGTAATATGCCCCAAAACACAGGAAGCATGCAAGAGAGGCATAGACCAGAGGCCTGACATCCTCAATGCCTGCACAGTGTCCTGTCCGTTAACATTTCCTCAGACTCCTTGTGCAGCAGCGGCAGGCCAGGCCAACATCCACAGACGGAACCGTCCCCGACCCCGCTTTTAAAATACACTTCGAGTGTTTCAAAACCACGAGGGGAAACCGATTACAAAAGCCCCACGCAAGAGCTTTGGCGGCAACAGCCACCAGGTAGAAGCAAGCATGACAGCGGGGGCACGGAGGTGGGCTCCGCTAAAACCAGACCGTGACCTACACCCTCCCGAACTGAGCGCAGCGCGACGCGGCGGGGAAACCCCGGCCCCGCCGGTCCAGCCGCCCCGCCCCCGGGACAGAGCGGGCGCCTTGGGGTGCGAGGCCGCGGCGAGGCGCGGAGGGAGCTTCCCCGCCCCGGCACCGCATCCCCGGCGGCGGCGAGAGTGAGTGGCGCCCCCGCCGCCGGAGGGGGGAAGAGGCCGGGTACTCCCCGGAGCGGGGATCCCCGCCGCCGTCCCCACGCAGCGCCCTGCCCCGCAGCGCCCCAGGGAGCCCCCCGCCGCCGCCTCTGCCGCCTCCACCGCCCGGTGAAGGCCCGCCGGCGGCTCCCGGGTGCGGGCCGGCCGCAGGGGGCGGGTGCACGATGGGCGGCGGGTGTCCGCCGCAGCCGCCGTGTGGGCTCACCTCCTCCGGGATGGCTGGATCGCCGCTGCCTGCCGCGTAGCAGGCGCCGAGCGCGGGCGGCGGCGGCTCAGGTTCCATGTCCCCGTTGAAGAGCGAGGCCCCCTCCGCGCTGCTGCCGCTGCTCAGCGCCGCCATCTTGGACCGAAGCGCTGTGGCGAGGGAGGGGGAGGGGGCAGCCGCGTCCCCGCCGCCGGGACGCCCCCAGCCGCGACCCGTAGTGGGAAGGGGGAGGGGGGCGAGCGCAGGTCCCGGCCAGCTCCCAGCGGCCCGTGCCACCGGCACGTCACGCCCGGCCCCGTGACGTCACCCAGAATCGCCGCCTTGGCCACTGCGCATGAGCTGCTGACGTCACCGGGAAACACCTTGACGTCACGGCGCGACCACCCGTCGCCCTGGGAACTCGAACGTGGATTCGGGCCACGCCCCCGCGCCTCAGCGCCCCCTTGCGGCATGGTAGCACTGTCGCCGGCGCTGTACACCACCCGTCCCGCTGGACCGCTCCCTGGGCTCCGCGACCCGGCAGAGGCGGCGGGAAGGCGGGAGGAGCCCCTCTGAGGCCCGGCTGCGGGCAGGGAGCGGAGGGGGAGGCTGTGGTGGGGTGCCACAGCTGCACCTGCCGGCAGGTCCTGCCAGCAGCGGCCTCCGTGACCGGGCGGGGAGCTCCGCAACTGTGAGGGGGGATAAAACCAGGATTCGGGTGCCGGCAAGGTTGAAATGAGAAAGAAATAGGGTCGTACATGCGGTGTGCGCTGAGCGTGTGCTACAACAGGAGTGCTACAACTGAGGTCTGGGAGCGCGTCCCAGTTTCTGAACAGGAGTGTCCATCCTGTCTGCACCTTGTCTGCATGACGGGACACACGCTGCCTGCCCCAGCAGTCTGACTTATCGGGGGAAAAGATGGGATCACACAACGGACCTGCCGTAGGCTTCGGTCCGCTGTTGAGAAGGACAGAGGAACCAAGCCGGTAGGCAGCGTGCGTTGCGAAATGACGCTCCTTCCAGCTCAGAAACGACGACCTGGAGCCGACAGCCACTGCTGTCCCCCAAAGCTTGCTCCCTCTGCATCCCCAGTGCCTGTGGCCATCTTCCCCCCAAAAAGGCAGAATGTTTCCATTTAAAGTAAAAAATCGACTGGTGTCTTATCTCTGTATGCTCAAGCACTGAAATGCTGCTTCCACACATAAAGCATTCACTAAATCTGTGTTTTAAGTTGCTTTCTTGCTGAAAAGCTGTTTATGACAAATACCAAATTGGTAACAGTATTTTAATGCACTGCAAAGAAAAGCTGACGTATCCGCAGAGCAGCAGGATTTCAGAGAAGGTAAAGGCTGTCCTATCACAACCTGATATATTTTATGGTAGTCAATTAAAATTACAAGTTGAAACATGCAAGTGCAAACATCCTTATCTTTCATTTCAGTTATGAATATGTAACCATACAACCTTTTAATGTAACAATCCTGATGACAGATTTGAGGTTTATATTTCACCCTTCACACTGGGGGCCATCAATGTGTAAAAACATTTCAAATTCAGTCTGATACCAGTGGTGCTGTAGCTGGTAAATAAATGCAACGTTAATTTACTATATGGGCGCAGCAAAATCATGATGGAGTCAGGAATACCAGACCCTGTGGAATGGAGGGAAGGACCTTCAGGCATGAATTTATCAGAGGGTCTTTCCTGCAGAGAGCTACACACAGTATTAAACATCTCCTGAATGCAGAAATAAGCCAAATAATCTAGTTAATATTTAAATGGATTTTAATTAATTACCTGACAAGCTATGCTTTCCTGAGATAGGTTCTCCCATCTGGAGATAGGTGGCCTGCACTCAACAAAAAGGCTGCACAAGTGTGAGAACCAAATGCACAAACTAAGCAGCTTGCCAAGTTTAGAAATTTCTCTCTAATAGCCACATTAATGAAGAGGATAATTATCAGCAATTCCTGCTATGCGATGGGAATGTGTAATGGTAGTGGAAAATGCACACAGACTCTGGAGAATAACACATATGCTGAGGACTAAATGCTGGGACAAATTTATCTTATCTGTAAAGGAAGATGTGGTGGAGGCAATAGGAGATGGCTCTTCCAGCACACAGCCCATTGTGGAACAGCCAGCAGAGTAATACAGCCTTAACTAACAGAGTAAGTGCATTCATTTCAGTGACATTTACTAACAAGGGATAATGTAGTCTCAGTGTACAGAATGTAGTCATAGCCCTTGTTTTAATCCCCAAGCAATTTGTGTCCTGGCCATAACTCTAGCTGTGGAATTAGTAGACTACTATCAATCTTTGACTTGTAATATGTTTCTCAATGACTTTAGTAATCTTGTGTGACTTTGTTTCTGAGCTTCTGATTTTTTTTTCAGAAGATTCGCATTCACATTGTTATATTTGCCAAGCTTTCTTACTGTATTTGATGTACCACCTGAAAACTTACAGTTCTAAACCCTAGTATTGAAACTGGTGACCAGAACTGGGAACACAGCAGTTATCAACCAAAATACATGAGATAAAACCCCCCAGTGTTCTACCAAAAATAAGGAATAGAATACTACTTGAAAAGAAAGCTGTGTAGGAAAGAGAAATAAATTTATTATTTATGCCATACTTTATTTTGGGGAAATCCACGCCTAGTGATAAATGGAATTTATTTATGGTGCCTCACACGATGGCATCTTTGGTCTGTCTGCTTAATCCATCATGACGGAAGATAAATCATTAATAATTGTAACTATTTCTTGGTGATATGAAATCCTGTCTACTGAAAATTGATATCATCAACTTTCACAGAGACTAGCTTTCATTATCAACATAAGTCAAAATCACAAGCTAGATGTGAAAGGCTGGTTTCTGCTATCAAACCCAGAAGCCACCGGGTTAACTCGTACAATGCAGTACAGCCAGTTTATCTGGTATAGCAGCAGGTAATGCATACTTGTAAATACAAATCCTGCCACCTCCCATCAAATTCTTAGTTATGCACTGGGGTTAGATCCGCCTCTTAATTTTCTTAATTTGAATTCAGATCAGAAAACAAATCCAGTTGTTAAAAGACAAATCCACTTCAGATAGATTGTCCACTACCAGCACATTCATCTGATTTAACCAATACCTGAACTTCCAGAGAAAAAGGTTTTAATGAGTCAGTAAGGAAAATTATATGTCTACCTGACAGCATCTGTCTCTTTGTGAGCATTTGAACATGTCTTTGTCTTTTCCCCCAACCAAGAAAAATATAAATTAAATGCTCCAAAACATGAATGTCCAAAATGCAAAGACAGATGTTGATGGAACGCAGATACTAATGACAACAGTCATGTTCACTGTTATCTTGGCCAGAAAATGTGAAGCAGAACAAAACTTACGCAGTTGTCCAGAGTTCATTCATTTTTCATTACTAGTCAGAATAATGCGTACTTAAGAAAATTACTTTGCTCTCTAGGAAAAGAATGTTAAAGACATTTGTTGAGAAAAAAAAAACCAACTGATTTTTTTTTAAACTTCCCTTTAGCACCCATATCGGTTTATTATCCCCCTCACTTTAAGATATGCTATACATCTTTTCATATCTCTATGGATTGGTGTCTGCTCCAGTGTGAAGCAATAGGGTGAACAAAGCTGCTTTTTTTTTTTTTTCCTGCTTTTTTTTTTCTCTTCTCTTTAAACTACTCCTGCACCGACCTCTTGTATTTTTATCTTTGGTAACTTTCTGAGAACTTCTAGGATACAAGATTTATCATTCTGTGATGCTGCTAAACTTCAAACATTCATACCTTCAGTGAGAAATCAGGTAATATTCAGGTGCTGATTTGAGCTGTGCAGCTGAACAGCCTCAGCCGTATTTTATTCAGTTGATGGAGACTTCATTGCCGTTTGCTTTTGAGTGAAATACACAAGCAGAAGTGATGAGAATGGATGGATACTAGGAGAAAAAAAAAGAAGTAGGGAAAAAGGAGAAAATGTGAATCCCCCAGATTCTTTACTCAGTTTTCATTCTACCATTAAAAGCAATGCTGATCTAACAGCTTTCTTTTCTATATAAATAATAATGTATTCTGGATCTTCTTGTAATGATATTGGAAGTATTTACATAGTTTTAATTTGATTCCAGTATAATTTATTTTAAAGTAATTATTTATAAAACTGTAATTTCTTATAGTTTATATACCACAGCCCAAACTTTCAGAAAGTAAACCCAAAACATTTTCCTTTGGAGGCAACGTGTGGGAGGCAGGGAGCAGGGTGATGGGACAGGGAGCAACTTTGCATATAGGTCCCTTTGTACCCTGCATGTTCAGCGTTGCAAGAACAAAACGCAAACCTGCTTCCTTCCTTATCTGAGCACTGATTTTAGGGTCCAGCAATGTATGTGCTGCACTGCGGTGCTCTGCCTCTCTCTCTGCTGGCTTTCTGCCTTCTCTCATGTGCCAGCATGAGAAGCTAAAGAAATCACACATTTCATTGAAAATAAAATAAAATAGTATAAATACTGACAGATGTGGCATATAAGGGACCACTGAGAGAGAGCATGAGGCCTGAAACCACTGTTAAGGGAACAGAAGTAGCAGCCAGTAGAAAAGGAGGGGAATCAGTAGAAAAGGGGGAAAAAAGATTAGGTGGAGAGAGAATGCAGTAGAACTAGGCACTGGAGAACAAGATGAACAAGATGTGGCTCTCCTAGGAAATGAGAAGCAAATGAAAATGGGGAAACAAAGGAGTAAGGAGCACTGATTTTCCTGCATGACATACTTTGCTGAAACCAGGACCAAATCTTAATGTTTGAGAAGATTAGTCAAGACAAGATACCTTAGCATCCCTTGTTGTTTCTTTAACATATTCAGCTTGTTTGGATATCTGATTTCTGAGTCCTTTGTGTTGGACAGTGATAAGCTGATCAGCTTTAAAGACTGTATAGTTTTAAATTTCTCACATTATTAGTCCAGTGTGAACAGTCATATTTCATAACTCAAACCCATCCCATTTAGGCACAAAAAACTGCTAATGAGATTGAGTGAGTTCCAAGAAAGGATAGGAAAGGATACCACCCCAAACAAATTATTTTGCTGTTCAGAAAATGACTGTTCATTTATGTTGAAGGATCTTAGGATTTTTTCTTCGTAATATCCAGGCTAGCTGAGTTTCACCTGGCCTGAATACCTGCTGTAATTTGATTCTCCAGCACTTTACAGACAGACTGGTAACTCTCTACACCTCTGATCTAACAACAGTTTTGATAGGAACTGCACCTTTCAGTTTCTAGCCTCTTCACTGAGCAGGAAAAGTCCTTTAGGGTTGGTATTGGCCTGGAGTAAGGAAACTTTGAGAGTCCAAAAAGGCTAAATCAAATATATGAATCAAAAACAGAAACTGCAGGTTT